AGACAGAGAGAGCATGAGTGGAGAAGGGGCAGAGAGAGAGGGAGACACAGAATCTGAAGCAGGCTTTGAGCTGTCAGTACAGAGGCCGATGCGGGGCTCAAAACCTTGAACTGTGAAATCATGACCTGAGCTGAAGTCAGACGCTTAAACTGTCTGAGCCACCCAGGTGCCCTTATGTCTGTTGATATTTTTATTTATGTTGGCAAATAAGGTGAAAGTGAAACAGCTTTGATGTATATTAGAACTTCGTTGGTTCATCAAAGGGATGAGAGACTTTTTGCTTAATTGGATGAGACTTTTAGAATACTAGAATAATATTTCCTCAATTTTGTGTGTATGTGTTCTTTACAATGTAATGGCTACATTATGTTATGATATGCCTTTAAATTTGATGTATGTTAACATTTTATCTATCATGTTAAGTCTAGACCTCAGGTTCTGGCTATTCCTATTGTTGTAAATAATTTTATTGAAACACAGCTGTGTCATTTATTTACATACTGTCTGTGTCTGCTTTCTCACTGTCACAGCAGTGTTGAATAGTTGCAACAGAGATCTTGTCCTGTAAAGTCTAAAATAGTGCTTACTATCTGACCTTTTATAGAAAATGTTTGCCAAATACTGGTCTTGGATGATCAACAAAAGAGTAAATCAAACCCTGATTTACCTAGTAGAACAGCTGAAGTCAATAGCCACATTGGCCAACTCCTGGGTTAGTGTCCTTCCTTTGTCTCACACCAGCCCCCTCCCCCTGCCCTGTTGTCCCTTCCTATGCTGATCAGTTGACACTGGTTAAATCTGGGGCTTGGAGGAAGAAGGGGAAACATTTTTCAACTCCAACTTTGTTTAAAAGACATTTGCTTTAATGCAGTTCTTCTAGTGTTGCAAGTGCTTCCTATTTTACTATTTTATCACTATGATTTCATACTTTTGTAAATAAAATACTTATTTTTAATATCTCTTTATTTCTTTCTGAATAAATAAATATAAACTTAGTTGGCTGTGAGCCACACTATATGTCAGATATGGTCCAACATGAGTTCCAAAGATTTATGATTTTAACAAGAGTAGTATTGTGAAGCTATGTGTAACAAGAGATATTTGGGCTATTGAAACCACAAGTAGCTTGCTGTCCCTGGAGAGACCACTGACTTGACCAACGACTTGACCTTCATTATCCCAGTGTGTCTCACCTGCATAGAGTTACCAAGGGTATTTGTTAAAATGGATTTTACGCATAAAATGTAGATTTACAAAGGCTCATCGAATCAGAACTTGTGGGACATAGGGCCTATGAACTTGTAGCAAGTATGTTTAATCAAATATTAAGAAATCATCGTGACTTTCCATGTGACATTGGATAGTCTTTGGGCCTCATTTTATAAAATGAAGGGTTTAGGTTCTATGATTTTATGTAATATATTAAGATTGGTTGTTTTTTCATAGTGCAGGAGACTCTAACGTGAAGGGGGCAGAAACAATAATTATTCCTTTAACTCTGTTGTTTGTTTAAAAATACACGCACACATCCCTTTGTGCTGAAAGCATTCTAATGCACGCACTTCTCTTGCCATGTTTTTGGCAATGGGAGTCATTTATGGCAGGACTCCTGTTTATACACAAACTCTTGGGCATCAAATGGAGCATCCAGACATGTTCTAGATGAAAGCATCCACCCTGTACCTGCTGCATTAGCTGGTGCAATAGTGGGAAAGCCTCATGGGACACCATAAAGATGGAGTGTGCTATCTGATGGGCGCTGCAGATGTGCTCAAGGTTGTCACAGTGAACCATGCAGGTGGCTTGCTTCAACTGAGTGCACCAGATGCATATCCTTACAAAAGGTTTCTGCTACCAGCGATGAGTCAGATTGGTGACATGGGAAATAAACAACACCAAGACTCTCACTCAGCTTGTGTTTACTGACCAATTTCCACTCTCTCTCTCTCTCTCTCTCTCTCTTCTACAGGAACTCCACAAGTTGCTTGGTGGCCAAAAGTTTGGTAGTTTCTATAAATACTTTAAGATCAGAAAGTGTAGGAAGATATCCACAAATTAATGGCATGGTAGCTAGCTAAGAAGCAAAAGTTGAACGACAGAAATTATGTTGCCATTATAATATTTCCAAATAGATAAAATTGCCTCTTAATGTCTTTGTAGTACAATGTGGGTCATCTTGCTAAACCATCTTTTATAGAATGTTTACTTTTCATGTTTCACTTCTTGCTGCTTAGGCCTGTACAACCTCTTCTTCTATGCCTGCTGTTTTCCTGGATGTTTTAGCAGGAACACCTTAACTCAAATATGACAAAACCTCTGTCTGCCTGCCAATGGAAAATCAGTTGCCACAAGGCAGACATGTGGTAAAAGGAAGGCAGAAAAGAACTTGGACTCCTAGGTTGCTCTTAAATTACTGCCAGCTTGCACTCAAACCTTTCCAGGAACAGACTGTGGAAAAGACTTGGTGTGTGTTCTTGCCGATGAGCATTTCACAACATAGTCTCCATGTACCAAGCCTGCTTCCATGTAGATCGAAGCAGAGTCTGGTGGCGAATGGGGAGTTGGCGACCTCTCCTCTGTCCACATGAGTACTCCTCACTGCCCTCTTCATTAAGATTCAGAGAATCCAAGATGAAGGAAGATGGAATGAATTCTGAGATCCTAAAAAAGAATTTTCCAGACAGAAAAAGATTTCTAAGGTACTGTTAAAATTAGGAACATTTTCTAAGTAATAATACCTAAAACAAATTAGGTACATTAGTTTGCTAGGGCTGCCATACCAAATACCACGGACTAAATGGCTTAGCAACAGGAATTTCTCACAGTTGTGGAGGCTTTGAAGTCCACAGTCAAGGTGTCAGGTTTGGTGTCTCCTGAGACCTGTGTCCTCAACTCGCAGATAGATGCTTGTCTACTCTGTGTGCCCTCACATGGTCATTCCTCTGTGCAAGTGCATCCTTGTTGTTTTCTCTTTTTGGGTGTCCAAATTTCCTTCTCTCATAAGGACACCAGTTACATGGGATTAGAGCCCAGTCCATTGGCCTCATTCTAACTTAATCACCAATTTGAAGGCCCAATCTCCAAATATAGTCACGTTTAGAGGTACTAGAGGTTAGGGCTTCAACACATGAATTTTGGGGGATAAAATTTAGCCCATTACACTAACCCAGATTACTAGTAGCCCATGAAAAAGATCTAGCACAGAATGATCTTGACTTTCTAATAATACCCAATTTGGTTTTGGCTTTTCTAATAAGCCAAATGTACAGGATTTGAAAACTCAGCCTTAATTTTTTTTTTTTTTTACTCTGACTCCATGGGCTGCATTTGTTGATAAACTTCGCCTTGCCCTGTTTATTTGATGAGTTTCCTTTTTGCAGCTTTCCTAGAGTAACTGGAAGTGACACACTTGCATCCACTGACTGTTCTTTTGTCCTACCTCAGCTGTCTTTCCTGTGGTCACACCTGTGACCTCATCCACAACAGGAATGAATACTGCTGAAATCTTGACTCCTTGCATCCACTAGTCTATTATAGACATCTCATTCAGTGATTCTTTGACCTTATTGAGATCTTTAGCCCATTGGCCTTACTCATTAACAGTCCTCCCTTCCGCCTCCACCAGGTTCCTCTTCCTTTCCTATCTGGCTTAAGATTCTAAGATCCATCACTAGAATTACTTTTGTTCCCCTTCTCTCTCCAGGGTTGATAGAATTACAATACTGGTAAAACCAAATCCTCTGTTTCCTGCTTCCCTTTCCCCCTAGCAGCTATAGAAAAGTGAAACTTTTTTTTTACTGTTCTCACTTCAGAGTCCTAGCATGTAGAAAGAATAATCCTCTCCACCAAAGATGTCCATGTCTCAAATCAGAGAAGGTGATGTGATGTGATGACTGAGGCATGGCAGAGTAGGAGACGTGGCAGTGAAAATAGGTCAAAGATTTGATGCTACACTGTTAGCTTTGAAGGGGGGTGGGGGGAGGGATCATAATCAAAGAATTCAGGCAGCCTCTAGAAGCTGGAAAATGTAAGGAAATAGATTTTCTCCTAGAGCTTCCAGAAGGAGTGTGGTCTTGCTGACATGTTGATTTTAGCCCAGTGAAACCCATTTCAGAGTTTTGACCTCTAGCATTTAAGATAATAAATTTGTGTTAAGCTACTATGTAATTTGTTACAGCAGCAATAAGAAACCAGTTCAAAGGACAAACCTCAAATGGCCACTGAACACCATGTGACATTTGTACCTTCCAGTGTGCTTGGTTTTCTATTCTCCAAAATAGAGTTCTTTTCTATTCTCCAAAATAGGAGTTCTTCCCACCTTAGCAGCTAACATTGCCTTGTATTTCATTAAGAACCTGACTCCCATTATAACTGATACATGTATTTACTTGCTCAACTCCTTGTATATATAATCATTATCCCAACCTCATTGCCACATCCTTTATCCTGCCACATTTTTGGCCCCTGGCCATGCCACTATCTTCAAGGAAAAGGGATGGAAGAAGAAGAGGAAAATCAACATTCTATTTAAAAACATTAATTTAGCTTAATTTAATTTAATTTAATTTAATTTAATTTAATTTAATTTTAGAGAGCATGAGCAGGGGAGAGGGGCAGAAGGAGAGAGAGAGAGAATCTCAAGCAGGCTCCATGCTGATTGTGGAAGCTTGATCCCAGGACCCTGGGATCATGACCTGAGCTGAAATCAAGAGTCACAGGCTCAATCAGCTGAGCCACTCAGGCACCTCAACATCCTACTCTTCAATGTTAATTGAGTGTCTGCCTGTGTTATAACATATCTGTAGTATATAAACCCAAGCTTCTTCATATTTGTATGCAAAGAACAATTCCTGCTTTAATATTAAAACTTATTTTTTTAATTGTAGTCCAAAGAAGTAGTGCTTTTGTGTAAAAGAATTACTTCCTGAACAAAGACATTACAAAAAATATGAATATAACAAATTCTTTCCTTTCGGACCCTCACAGATTGTGGTGTTGCCATGGGTCACTGCCCTGTCTGGTATTACTGGTATTGTACAAACAAGTCATATCCAAAGTCTCACTTCTGCAGAGATATACCTGATGTGAAGATCTACATCTTTGATATGGAATGGAAGAAGGCAAAAGTGATGAGTTTTTACACCATGGCCACATGGTGTCAGATGAATATGAACAGCTCTCTCTTTTGAAGCCCTGGAGGCTTCCTCTGTGCCAACAAGTACATGGTGAAAAGTTGGGAAAAGATGGCTTTCACATTCAAGCACGCCTCCACCCCTTCCAATTCATCCATATCAACAAGATGTCGTCTCCTGCTGGGACCATGCAGACAGGTATGTGGGGTGCCTTCAGAAACCCCCAGGGCAGAGTAGCTAGAGTCCATATTGATCAAGTCATTATGTCCATCCTTACCAAGCTGAATAATAAGGAACATGTGGTTGAGACCCTACATAGGGCCAAATGCAAGTTCCCTGGCTGCCAGAAAAATCACATCACCAAGAAGTGGGGCTTTACTAAATTTAATGTAGATGAATTTGAAGACATGATGGCTGAAAAGTGGCTCATCCCAGATGACTTTGGGGTCAAATACATCCCTCATGATGGCTTCCTGGACAGATGGGAGGCCCTGCACTCATGGGAAACTTGGCACTGCCCCCTTATTCATGCCCACAGATAAATCCTATTTCCTGTTTAAAAAAAAAAAGGATATATCCAACGATAATCAGTGACTTGAACTCTTTACCATAATGACAAGCATAAGTCAACATAATACCTGTGCCTGTTACATTAATTTTGGGGTTTTTTATTGCTTTTAATAATAATTTAAAAAATTTATTAATGATTTTTTATAGAGTATATAAGTGCATATATGTAGTTTGAAAAGCAACAGATGAACACATGTATATATATATATAACTGTACATATACATATATATGTATATATTAAAAAATTTATAAATTAATAAATATGTATATGTGTGTATGTGTATACACACACATACATCTAGTTTAAGAGAGAAATTTTGAAGATTCCCTGTGTTTCTACCTCATGGCAACCTCACTTCATCCAGGTTAACCACTGTCCTGAAATTTGTGTTAATATTTTCCTTTTCTTTATAGTTTTACCACCTGTACAAAATGTGACCAGACATCTAGTTCACCTAAGACAATCCTGGTTTAAGAATGTTATCCCTGAGTAATTATTAACAGTATTCCTTTTTACTGTCAAGCATCCTGTTTTGGATGATCTAAATTATATATGGACACAGACTTTATGTGTAGATTGCTATACAGTGGGTTACTTAGTTTAGAAACTCAGTGGCAAAGAAGAAATCTAATTTTCTAAGAAAAAGGCATTATTTCCATAGTTAGATAAAGACTCCCAGAGAGTCTTGAGGTCATGATTTGGCTTCAGTGTGTATGAAATTTCAGAAGTGCATCTTTTGGAGAAGTCAGTGGAAAAAACAATTAGTTACTTTTGAGGAACATAGGGCTTATTATTGTTGAGGCATTTGCTAGGCTAAGTGCGGGTCAGGTTGTTAATCATAAATTCTCTTTTAAAATTATTTTTAATATGTATTGAGGAATAATATATCTACCATAAACTACATGTATCTTAAATATATACCTGAGGAATTTTAATATCCAACATATTCCTGTATCCATCACCCAGATCAAGATATAGACACTTCTAGCCCCAGAAGACTCCCTCATGCCTCCTCCCACTCAGTAGCCCCTCTCAAAGATGGCTATTCTGCTTATAAGCAGTGATTAGTTTTATCTGTTTTTGAAATTCATATAAATGAATTTGTCTAGCTGCTTTTGCTCACTGATCACATCTTTGAGTCTCATGTACTAGATATCAGTTTATTCTTTTTCTTGCTGTGTAGTATTCCATTGTATGACTACACCACAATTTTTTTTAATGCATTCTACTGTTGGTGGGCTTTTATTTTTAGTATTTCCAACTTGTTCACTCTTATAAATGAGTACGAATTTCAGTACATCATCAGCAAAAAAAGAATTCCAACTCTTCTATATCCTCATTTTATTTTGTATTGTCACTCTTAATTTTAACCACTCATAATTTTTTCAACAATGATATCTCAAAAGCCCAGTGAATTATAAAATTCATAAAGGAATTCCTTAAAACAAAATGAATCCCTCAAATGTTGTTAGTCACATTATCAATTATTTTCAAAATTTTACTGTTTCAGAAATTTTGATCAAAATTTTGTTGAGAATTATATATAAAGATATTTACTAGAAAGGAAGAATAAATAAAGGAATAATGTGTTTGCTGAGTTTGAATCATAACTTTTTTATAAGCCTATGTTAATCTATGGACCACGTTGTGTCCCCCCAAGATTCATATATTGAAGTTCTAACCTCCAGTATAACAGTATTTGGAGATGGGACCTTTGGAGATAATTAGGTTTAGATAGGCCTGGAGGGAAGGGCCTTCATGATGAGATTAGAGCTCTTATAAGAAGAGACACCAGAGGGCTTGCTCTCCCTCTCTCTCTGTCATGTGAAGAGACAGTGAGAAGGCAGTTGTATGTAGCCAGGAAGAGAGCTCTCACCTGTAACTGAATCTGCTGGAACCTTGATCTTGGACTTCCCAGCCCCCAGCACTGTGAAGAATGTCTGTTTCTTAAACCACCAAGCCTGTAGTATTTTGTTCTAGTAATCCAAACTAATACATTAAAAACTAATGTTCTACCACATGACTTCATATAAGATGTTGCATAGACAAATATGTTTAGAATTTTCTCATATAACAGGTATGATTATTTCCAAACGATCCATCATTAACAGGAGTGTGAAGAAGCATTTCTCTTTCCAATTTCTTGATTATACTGAATTCTACTTGGCCACAGACAAAAAGGTAATTCCATAGTATTTAAAAGTAGGCCAAGAGAAGGTAACATTCCTGTGACAGATCGTTAGGCCAAGGAGTCTGTCTCAGGGAAAGAAATGTAAACAATAATTGACTGTAGAAAAATAAATACTAATGCTTTTAGAAAAGAAAAAAGTTGGAGAAAAATTGGGAGACCAGCAGTTTTGATTGTCTTGCAGAAAAATCATTTAGCAAAGTCTTGGGAGTGAATTCAAGAAAGCTCAGAATGGCTGTGAGCCCAATGAAAAGATACTATTTCTGTGTAATCAGATTAAGCTTGTTACTATTTCAGTGCAAATTCTGAAATGGGAAACTAAAAAGATTTCTATTTGAGACATCAAGTGCTGGCAATGGAAGCTGAACTAATCTCAAGCGGAGTAACTATAGAAAGTCATTCTGAAAAAGGATTTATTTTCTCACTGAAAAGATGTGCTGAAAGAGAGGACCTGCCTTTGACTAGGGATATAAACAGAGAAAATGTAGATAAAAATTCAGGAGATAATTATACTATTTAAATCAAGACCACTGTATTTAATTAATTGACATAGCACACATTGATAATCTACCATGTGCCAAGTATTGTGCTATGTAATAAGGTATATGTGTTTAGAATCATTGGATGATTAACTCAGGGGCTTAAAGTTACTTGAGAATATGTACTACATTCCCTGGGAGACCTGCATTCATCCTCAGAGTCAGACATATCTACACCTATTTGCAATACTTGTGGGGGACCTGATTAAGCATAGAGTTACATGAGTGATCAAATTGCTGAGGTTAGCATTGATTGTTTCTCCAGGGTACTGCTTCATGTGTTTATTCAAATAAATAAAGCATATGTAAAGTACCCTAGATGTGGCTAGTAAATGCTCACATTATATGTGTGAGTAGTAATCTGTATGAATAGTCATGAATGATCAGCGGATTTTTTGATGGAGTATCAAAGAGAACATTATTAACCAGTAGCTGGTGATAGAAACTGTCATGTTAAGGACCCCCAGTTATTCCATTATAGGCTTTTATACCTATAATTCATGACTAAAATTTAGTTACCTATTTTAAATAACTCATTAAGCCAACATTCACTGAGCCCTTTCTGGTTACTGTGTTGAAGGTCAGGGATACAGAGATCCATGAGAGGTGTCATTTTTGGAGGAGATCAGAGTCTAATGGTAGCAGCTATGTGGGAAGATAATTATTGTATAATGTGATAAGTCCTTAAAGAAAGTAAAACCAGAAGTGGAACTGCAGAGGAGGAAGTGGCCAATTGCCCAGGATATCAGAAAATAATTTAAATAGGAGGGGATATTTTGATGATGAAACTGAGGCTGAACACATCCCATTGAGCAGGTGTGCTGAACTCCAAGTCAAGTGCTTGAGGGTTTTCTTTTCTTTTTTTCTTTTTCTTTTCTTTTCTTTTCTTTTCTTTTCTTTTCTTTTCTTTTCTTTTCTTTTTTCTTTCTTTCTTTCTTTCTTTCTTTCTTTCTTTCTTTCTTTCTTTCTTTCTTTCTTTCTTTCTTTTTAGCATCTTTACTAAAGATGAGCAGAATCTGTACTCAGAGCTCTCAAATAGTGAACGTTTTTTTTTTTGAAGTGCACTAGCCTGACCAACTGTTAGGAGGTAACCAAAGTTCACTGTGAATTTTAGAAAATGGTTGTAATTAGTCCCTCTTTCCACCTCTCTTGATTCTTACCTGCTAGATACATAAATATATTTAGGGAGAGAGTATAAATTACATTATGGGCATGCTTCTGGACTCAAGCAGAATTATATCCATATTTCAGTTCAAAATAGGAGAAAGTGTACTTTTAAATCTGCTGCTTGGCTACATTAACATTTAATAAGTGTGTATCAATTCCCATTTATGTATATATATATATTCTAAACAAGTTTAGGACTATAGTACAATTTTCAATTTGGAATAAAAGGACAGATGTAAGTGTTTCAAGTCTAACATAAAAAGGGCAATCATGGGAACAAGAAGACAATCATTAGGTCACGAGGTGTAAGTAATCTAAAATGGGTTGGTGTTGGCCGTATATTGACTGGCAATTATTCTCTCAGTTTTTGCTTATCTGAGAGTCTCTTAAAATTTCTCCCTCATTTTTGAATAGTAGTTTTGAAGATATGAATTACTGGTGGACAGTTGTTTTTTCCTTCAGCACTTTGAATATGCCATTTCTTTCTAGCCTCAGTGGATCTTGTTCAGAATCCTGGTCTATAATAACTTCTCTCTTGCTGCTTTCAGGATTCTCTTTTTGTCTTTTTGGAAATTTGAGTATAATGTGTGTATGTATGGATCTCTTTGAGTTTAATTCTACATGGGTTTGTTGAACTCCTTGGATGTGCAGATTAATAGTTTTCATCAAATTTGGGTGTTTTTTTTTTTTTTTTTACTATTTCTCCAAGTATTCTTTCTGCCTCTTTCTCTCCTTTTCCTTCTGGGACTCCCATTATGCATACATTGGTATATCTGATGGTGTCCCACAGATTTCTGAAGCATTATTCATTTTTCTTTATCCTTTTTCTTTTCTGTTCAGCAGGCTGAATAATCTTATTTAACCTGTATGAAAATGTTTTGATTCTTTCTTCTGTCAGTTCATGTATTGTTAAGTTCCTCTAGTGAATTTTTCATTTCAGCTATTGTATTTTCAACTCCAGAATTTTTATATAATTTTTTTCTTTCTCTTCCCTATTTGGTAAGGTATTGTTTTCACACTTTCCTTTAGTATTTTAGACATGGTTTAGGTTTTTTTTTTTTTATGTTTAAGATAGC